TCTAGGCCTTTCCAGGGCCTCGGACAAACCACTGACAAACCCTTCGGTAGCAGGAATGTCGCCGAAGCATTCGTAGCACGAGAGAGAAGGCCGCGAGTAGACGAAGATGAAGGGTGGTGGCGGTGTTGAGTACAACGTCGAGGCGAACGTTCATTGGCAGACTTGGTTGTCACATCCGGATATTAGTGGCCGAACGAGAACGAGTGCCCTGTGACAGTTGCGTTGCAATGAGAGCCTCGCCTGACACACAGTTCGTATTTGTTCAGAATTACCAGCTCTTGAAGCCTTTGGTAATGAGTGGGTACCTGACTTTGAGGTGATTGCGGAAGTGCAGTATCGGCGTTGAGGCATTACGTTGCCGTTGATGCCCATATGCTTTCCATGACGAGAGGTACATGATACCTGGCCACCGCGTCAGATCTGGACGTGGCGCTGGCGCTGGTACTGTTGCTGATGCTAGTGTTGGTGTTGGCGTTGGTCTTGCGCGTTCTCCACACTGCGCGTTTAATAACCCTGGAAAAAGGATGACGGCGAGCGCGTTCATGACTTGAACTGGATCGCGAGTTTGACCGGTCGGTGGAAGCGCGGATGCCAGGTAAGGAGGAGGATGCAACACTGGCAGTATCTTGTCTTGTGCCGACGCCCGGCCAGGCAGGCAGGCAGGCAGGCAGGCAGGCAGAGCCATGGTGAGTGAGATTCTTTGCGATGCCGAGCGTAGAGTAAGGTAGGGTCGTGTCGTCGTCGTCTTCGTTCATCGGACATATTGCCATGTTGCTTGCCTGTCCGCGGCGTGTTCTGAAGGCCTGCCTGCCTGCCTGCCAGTTCCCTGGTCTCCGATCAAAGCACCCCCCCAGCCCATGGCCATGACCATGACCAGGCAAGGTAGGTACGGATAGGCTAGGTTCTCGACATTGGCCATGGCCAAGATGGCTTCCATCTGTCAGTCACGTTCTGTGACCGCGAATGTGACGGCGCCCCTCCCAGCCGGCTTATTACATATGTATGAATGGCTGCTGCAGAGAACAGACCGCCGCTGTCGTCGCGGTCGTCGTGTAAGACTGCGGCCGTCAGACCGAGCCCGATCGGTGCTAGCGGGTGAGAGTAATGGCAATAATTCCGCCAAACCGGCGGGGGGGTAGGAAATTCGACGTCAAGCCGCTTAGCTCACAGCTTCTTGCGTCTGTCTGCTGCTTTGCTTAAGGTCGGTAGGTTTGCTTTGGTTTGCTGCAGCTGTTGCAATTGCACTCTCACTTTCATTTGCCCTTCGAGGTGAAGTGCAAGGCAAGGCAAGGCAAGGCCAGGCATGGCAAGTACGGATACTAGACACGCCCTACCTTACCCTGCGCCTGCCCTGCCCTGTCGGTCGCCGCCTTCCACGCGCACCACGACACTCCCTGGCGCGGTCGCCGTCGGTCGCAGTGTCCGTGCCCTCGCCCAGATGGAAGGTCCCCACATTTTGACTCCTCCTCTCTTTTGCGCCAGCTGCATATCACGGCGTGTTATGAGCTGGGAATACGCTACCGTACCTAGGTGCTATCGTGGTTAGGTAGTCATGCTGCTTGATCCATTGGTTGACGGCTCGGAACCTAGGTACCTCGTGCTTCTTCTGCGAGCAACACTGCAACTAAGGTCATGGAAGGTATCCTCCCCGCTGCCGCTACCGCTGCCGCTACCTGACCTTGGCCTTCCACTTCTGACTCCTGCAGTCAGTCACTTGCATACAAGGCACTTTCCGCATCCTGGTAAGGTACCTATCTAACAATGCACGTCTTTTGCCCACTTCATTCCGAGCAGGCCAGACCAGACCTCGTCCACATTGGACTCACTCAGATCATGACAGCGCTCCAGTCAGTCTTCGAGGAGAAAAAAAAAATCGATGTTCTCACAGTCTCTGGTCTTGGCTGGCTTCTCGTAACCGTGTGACAAGGGTATACCCCGGCTCCATCTTCTGTCCGTTTTGTCGTTGTGTTCCACTTCCCTGCTGCTTTCCATGAGGATGAGCAAGAGAGAGGGGAGAACAGTTTTTTTTTTTTTTTCTTTCCTCATTTTTCCTGATCATGCCTCCCCCCCGACAGCGTCCTGTCTGCTGCCGCTGCCAACTTCTCTAATTCCACCACCCTCAACCCCGTGCTGCCTGAAAAAGAGTAGTGTGCTCGCCACACCCGAGGCACGTCTTCTGCTCCCCCGCCGCCGCCGCCGCCGCCGCCGTCTACCATCAACATCTATTCGGGCTGGCTCTTGCATGCAAGCCGTCTTTCTCGTTTTCTGGGATTCGTCTGGTCCATGTCCCTGTCGCCGTCATTCTCAGTCACACTTCCCACCACTCCCAGACTTTCCCAGTCCCCAATCCCAATCTCAATCCTAGTAACAGGAGGCCCTGTCCCGGTCAAGTCCATCCACCCACACCTACCTACGTACCCACCCTCTCAACCGTCCATCCATCCACCAATTCATTCCAGTCAGTCCCAGCCTTTTCTCCCCTCCCCTCCACTCCCCTCCTCCATCTGCGTCGCGCTGCGCCGGGACATCTGCACCTGCAACCTGCCTGCACCTCCTCTGCGCATGCGCATGCGCCAGCCCGGTCAAGTACTCGGCAAGGTACCTACTGCGTAGCGCGAGAACCAGCCCAGCCCGGTAGCTCTACTATGTAGTGTTAGCTCCAGCTGTGGCATCGACATCACCCAGCTCCAGGCCCCTACCAACGACTCTCGCATCGCACCTGATGCGACCCTGTTTGCTGCGCGCTATCCGACGCCGCCATCACCAGTCGCAATCTCGAGTATCGCGGGGTCCAGCTCCTCGTCGACTCGACTCCAGCTTCATAGATCAGACATCAAAGATCTGTACTCCAGAACACGTTCAAACATCCCGGCGTAAAGCTGCATCTGCTCTGTTCTGCTCTGCTCGCTGGCCCCTCGCCGTCGACGCCCTGGGACAGGCAGGGACTTTCGGAAAAGTCGGAAACACAGGAGCGGCGCATATCCAACAACCCAACCGTAGAACCAGCCTGCTTCTGCTGATTCATTCCGCCAAAGCCATCGTCTCCAGCGCATCGTCATCGTACCTGACTTGGAAGGCGACGTTTTTCTCTTCTGCAAGATACCCCGTCGGTAGTCTCCAGTTTGCACATACTATTTGCGGACTCGCATTTTCTCACACGCCCCCTCTCACTCTTAACACACTCTCGCGCAAACCCTTGGTTGTCGAGCACAGAAGTCGCCCAGAAAGGCATACGGCTGCAAGTTGACAAGCGCAAGCATCCGACCACGCCGCCGCCGCCTCGCTGTCGCTGTCGCTGCTCCGTGCTGCCTCTCTTCCTCTGCTGCTTGCTTACCTATCCATCCTCACGCAGTCACGCAGTCACGCAGTCCTTGCCTAGGTTCCTTCGCTTTTGCCTCAGTCTGCCAAGCATCAGGTACCTGCGGACTCTGCCCGCCGACCCCAAACGCCAAAAGTACAAAGTACTTGCCCAAGTACTTTCTTCACCCACCCGACGGCAAGATACAACACACCTCATCCACCCTACCTACCAGCCGACCCTGCCTTGCCGTTCTCAGTCGCCCACTTCTCTCCGTCCATCCATCATCGACCTTATCCTTACCACGCAGCATCTTTGCGAACACCAGCCAACCATCCGTCATCTTCCCTCCTTCACCACCACGCGCTCGCGCATCTCCACTGGCGACGACCTCTACATTCCTCGCCCACACTCGTCCCTCGCCGTCGCCAACTAGAGGGGCACTCATCAACTGTTTTTTTTTTTTTTTGTCCTCGCCCTCTCTGCCTCTTCGCTTTGACTGAGCCTGTCTCTGTCTCCTCACTTGCCGCGCGACAACTACCCGCCCGAAGCAGCAATCTCGCCACACGATTCTTCGCATCTTACATAGCAGGCCTCACACAGGCCCTCTTCGCGAAGGAATCTTCCCGCCGCATACCCCACGGCCAGGACACAGACCCTACCCATACTCTATTGAGTTCTACGGCTTGCTTGTACCGGCGCTGCAACTCAGCTCTTTGCATTTTCATCTTGAATTCAAACTTTTCTTAGCTATACACCCCTCATCCCCCCCTTCACTGCCTGCCTTGCGGCAAGAAGAGCGAACGAGACGGAGAGGCACGAAAGCTTCCATTCGACTTCTTCCCAGGCCGCTCCCCCTACCTGTTATTACTCGACACCTCCCGCCAGGGACATATCAGAGGTTTGCGCCAACCATATGCACGCATAACCTTGCCCTGCATCGCCCAGCGCACCACCCCCAGACTCAGTGTCGCCCTTGACCGCGACCCGGCCGGAAGGCAATCCAACTATATCAAGACACGTCGTCGTAGACCTTCTTTCCTCAATCTTGCTGCTGCTGCTGGGAGACGTTTTGCGCGCTCAATGTACTCCACTCAGCCGAACGGAGCTGATAGTGCGACAATCAATCCGGCTGCCCTCAACTCACCTGGTATGTTGCTTATTTGCTCTTAATAGCCCCCCCTCCCCAGTTTCACTTCCCCCCCGCCCTCTACCCAGCCTCAGCCTGCCTGCCTTGCCGCTAGCCGTCATCGCATTCCACAGCGAGGCCCTGTTCGTCGGTGTCGGTAACAGGTAATACCGGCGCAGTCGCTTACGCCTCTCTCTGTCTTGCACCATGGCTGCGCCAGTCTCTGCGTTGCTATCCCGCAATGACTTGTATGTGCTGACGCCTCCGATTATTAACAAGACCTCCTAAACGCCAGCCTCCGCGGTATCAAAAGAAGTCGATCCCCCGACAGTTTCCTCGAAAGAGCTCCTGCAGGCGGTGCCGGTATGTTTTCTTAATCTTAGCGATCAACCCCAGAATGCTTGTGCTGTTCATCAAGCGCGCGTGTCACCTCCAGGCTCCTTCCCGCAGCGCGCAACGCAATACAAGCTAACATCTCGTGCGTCCTCGCAAGGTGACTCCAACCCGAGAAAACGTGGAAAATCTTTGAAGGGGAGAACCTCCGAGACTGCCGGTCAGGCCCCCGTTAGCAACATGCCTCAAACCATCCCACCACCGCAAACTCCCCAAAACCAGGCCGCGCCGTTGCCAGGAGGGCAAGCCGTTGCCTACGCGCCTGCGCAAGCCTCCCCCCCGCCGAAGACTACTCCGACGAAGACCACGCTGAAGGCCCTACCGACCGTGAGAGACCACACCACCGACCAGCTCAACGCCGCCGGTGACGAATACCTCCCGAGAGAGATCGATGAATTTGGAGAGAAGAAGGTGATGCCCAACGGGCAGCTTTTAGGCGGTCGTGAATACAAATGCCGGACATTCTTGGTCCCTAACCGTGGCGACAAGCTCTTCATGTTGGCCACGGAGTGCGCAAGAGTACTGGGATATCGTGATTCGTACTTGCTGTTCAACAAGAACAGATCGCTCTACAAAATCATCGCCAGCCAGCCCGAAAAGGACGACCTTGTCAGCCAGGAGATTTTACCATTTTCGTATCGGTCACGACAGATTGCCATCGTCACGGCACGATCCATGTTCAGGCAATTCGGCAGTCGCGTCATTACCAATGGCCGAAGAGTCCGCGACGACTATTGGGAAACCAAGGCACGAAAGCAAGGCTTCACCGAAGCCGACCTCGCTGGTGAGAAGCGTCCCGGGGCCGCCAAGGCCAGAGAAGCTGCCGCCGAGGCGCAAAACCAGGTCATGATGGGAGGTCCGCACGGAGAAATCGTTTACAGCAACACTCCCAGCCAGTTCCCCGGCGCCCCCCAACCCCAGATCGTCCAACCAGGTATGCTTGGAGCGCCAACCGGAACAACGACCAGAATGCCCGTGATAACACTAGGATCAGAGCTCAGTGACAACCGCCCTCGTGATTACAGCGGCATCCTCAAAGGCGGTCCCCGCCAGGAAATTACCGGCCCGGCTTACCAGGACCAAACACGCCCTGCCCAGATTGGAGAGGTTCACGCCCAGGCGCACCACGCTGCTGAGTACAACCGTTCGCTCAATCAGCAACGTGACATGCGTGGAGACTATCTCCAGGGCATTTGGAGGAGACCCCATGAGCAACCCCAGTCCTCCAACCTGGCGCAGGCTGTATCTACGAGCGACGCGGCAGCCCCGACGACGCGTGCAACGCAGTCACCCCACACATCTGCCAGTGGCATGCCACAGTCTGGTATTGTGCCTAACCAAAGCCCGCAAATGATGATGACGGCCCCGCCTTACTCCCAGTCGATACACGCGCAGAATCCGATCAGTCAGGCTCCGATGAGAGGTATGGCCCAACCATCTTCCCAAAAGAACAACAAGCCAACGACTTTGCCTGCAGCAGGGAGTGCGAGCAATATGCCGCAGGGGGCTCAGGGCTACCACTATCCTGCGTCCGGCCAAATGTGGCCCCAGACACAACAAACGCCTCAGCACAACTACTCGGGCTACACGACGCAGAATCAGCAGTCGCATCAGCAATCACCAGCGCCTCAGCTTCGGCACGCGACGAGCAGTGTCCAGCCAGCGATGCAATTTCCTGGCATGCCGGGTATGGGCCAGAACTACGGTGCGGGTCAGGCAATGTACCCCACAGACCAGACTCCTCGCCAGTACATGCCTCAACCGAACCAAGGTTCTCCAGCGGTTACGCAGGCGTGGTCGAATCAACAGACACCTGCACAGTGGTGGACAAACCAGCCCCAATGAACTTAAGAAACACGACGTCATCGTCTTCTTGCCCTCTTATGCTCTTCATTTTGTCAGTATTTTGGCAACAATCCTTAGTTTCGTTTCTCTTATATACGCGGCGGCGACTCCTGACTTTCGCCGGTTTGGCAGGCTTTTCTGCTGCCCTCTGAAGGATACCCAAGCATACAGTTAGGTGGAGGCTATGTGCTTTTGGGCCGCCGGCCTGTCAGTCTTCGTACAGCATTTTGGCCGAGAAGGGATGAATAGAGGAGTCGCAGGGGATCCGGGAACACATCATCTCAGGTCAGGAGGGGAATTGATTATCACTGTACCGCGTTCTCAGTTGGTTTCTTTCTGGTATCTGCATCATGGGAGGATGCATTTCTGTTTGCAACATTGGTTGGCCTTGTATTCGATTTCTTTTGACTTTATTACCACTCATCGACAACATGTTTTTGTCTCTTGTCTCCCCGACTTTTTGTTATTTTTGGTTTCCTCGCCGTGGGCACGCGGGCAATTTCGACTTCAATTTGATACCATCGTCTTCTTGTCGCCGACTCGCTTCGCGCACTGTGTTAGCTAGTCCCTCTCATCCTCTCGAATACGATACCATACGAACACACCGTCCACGCGTCGTTTCTCCTGCCGCGCGGCTGAAGCTGCGGAGGTTGACTCAGCAGCAAGTTTAGTGGCAGACTACGACTCATGCGCACTGAGGGCATTCTCACGACATCGGCCGCCATCACTCAGCGCCAGCCATAGTAGGCAGGCTTGACAAGGGAGATCACGATCTTTTGCCTAGTCGAGCACTTGCAGCAATTTCGAGTCGAGATCTAGCTTTGAGGGACAGCAACTAGCACCTCCAACTTGACGAATGGCAGTTCCTCCAGCTCTTTGGGTGGGAGGTTACCACTCTGGCCCGTGCCGAACGACCGGGAACTTCCCCGACTTGGGTTCAAGGTTGTCACGAAAGCGAAGAACCGCGGAGGCGACAAAGCTCAGGGGACAAGTCGCGATATAGTTTTAAGGTTTGCTCGTGGTCTGGGGTGTACCCTTCTTCCCAGGGTAGCAGGATCGCATTTGCTCTTGAGTAGTCGACATGGACGAGGACCCCTTTCCATCTGCACGTCGGCAGCCAAATCATACTGGCCTTGTTTTATCTTTGTGTCGGCCGACACACCGCAGCAGCATCGGAGGAAGTTGCGCTGTGTACTTAGTGATGAGACTTGATATTCGTCGTCACACTTTGGGGGCCCTATTGAGGGGGGTCGGCAAGAAGCGCCACGATATGCGGCATTTGGTAACAATTGTTTTCGTTATTTCCCACATCTACTTTTTCTCTCGTGGGGGAATATCATGGCATGGATGGAAACGGGTCTTGTTGGTTGCATGGAGCTGCGTCGATCGAACACTTGGTTTTGTTTTCAAAGCTCTTGACACTTCTGTTTTACGACCTATTCTGTCGCAACTACTACGGCTATGTACTTGAAGATGGTGAAAGATGATGGGTTCTTGGACCTCCGCGGAGGTTTCGTAGTCTCGAATTAATGCAAACGAGTGGTCTTTTTGATTTCCTGATCTCACTGTCCCCTTCTCTAAGTCCTTGCCCGAGGTTTCGAAAAGGCTTGTTTGCGAATGCGCATGCGAGCACTATTCCAAATGACTTTTTCCACAACACAGAAATATGCCATTGTCTTCTGTAGAAGAACCATACGCCGTAGCAACTATTTTTATGAAGCATCTGTGTTTATGAAGCATCTGTGCTCACCTGTTTCTGTGTCGGTAACAGCCTGCTCCGGTGGCTGGGGAGCTTTCTCCTCCTCGCATGTGCCATCTGGTCGTTTGAGTTTGTGGTCTGTCCAAACCAGAAAGGCTCGTTATCGGGACGAAAGCCCGTTTGTGAGACGGGGATGATAGTGTTTGGCGCCCGGCCCCGGTGGGGTATCTGTAATAAACATCGTCTTCCTTTTGGCTTCTTCCCATTCTTCGATGGTTCAGGATAAAAAGGGGACGAAAAAGCGTGTTTTTTTAAACCACCTCCCCTTCCACACCCACGTCCAATCTTTTTCTTATTTCTTGTTTCCTTTACCCTTGCGGCTTTCTTTAAGCTCCCCCCGTCACTTTCTGCTTTCCCCTTTCGTCTTCCCACCCTCCCCGACTGTGGCACCAAGGGGCTTTGCCTCCCTGTCCTCCCTCCTTCTCCCTCCCCCCTTCCCCTCTCTGGCACCTCGTTCTTCTCGCTCTCTCTTTCCTGCCCTCACCGCACTTGACCTCCGTTCGAACCCCCCCGTGTCTCGTACATGTTCGGGCTTGGGCGGTCCAGGTCGATGGCAGTATGCCCCATGAAACTCTCGGCCGAAGCCTGAAGGCCGAAAGGGCGAAATCGGAGTGGTGGAAGAATACAGGCAGGTGGATCTTGCTCTCGGCGAACAGTAGCGTCGCGAACTGGTTTTCCTTCTTCTTCTTTGTCTGTTTTGATCAGAAGCTGGAGGAGAAAGAGAGATAGGCTCTGTAGATTCGTAAAAAGTCGAAATACTCGGGAACGTCCCGGCATATTCGGATCCGCCACCGGCGGAAGAGTCGGGAAAGACGGGGCGCGCGTCATAATGTGGCGCGCTCCACACGGCATGGGCGGGCTTACATCAGACGGGAGACAGGAGGCAACTTATTCATCGCATATAAAAAAGTCTAGTCTCCGCCCGGGTGAGGGGGGAAAGCATCGTCGCATTGGAGAAGTAAGCCAGCAGATATTGCGATAGGGTCGTCAGAATTCCCAAGAGGATCTGGCAGCATGCAAGGAATAGGGCTGGGAACTGCGAGGACGACGAAGATTTGGCGCTGAGACATTCAGAAACGATGATATGTCTAGTCTTCGGAGCCGACCGGAAATCGTATTTCGTCCATTGAATTCCAGACCGCTGACGAAGGTTTGAGTCTGTTTGTAGCGGTGAAGACTTGCTCCTACTCGTAATTAGGGCCCGAGAGAAAGAACGGGTGACACGGACACGGGTGTGGAGAGACAGAGACCAAAAGAGGTTTATGACGGGTTTGTGTGGGATGTTTCGTCTCGTCTGAATCCGCCATTGGGGGTTAAATATAATGAATGGGAGGGGAGGGGGGCGGTGGTGTGTGTATGTCCTGAACATGTGGCCAGCCCCATCGCCGGAGGAACTCTTGGGGGAGAGTAGGGCGCGTGGGAAAAGGAAAAACCACAAGAGATGTACGAAAAGGGAGTCGAAAGGAGAAGGTCGAGGCGAACTGTGGAAGAAGAAAAAGTGAATTTCAGGCTGAATGAAACGAAACAATGGATTGGCTTTTTTTTTGGTTTGGGAGGAAAACCAAACGTTCGGAAAGGCAACGAACAGGCGGCGCCAATCAGAAGTTGGGTTGCCTGCCTTTTTTTGTTTTAATATAACGGCTTTCTTCTAGATCGCCATCGTCCCATGTGCGTTACTCGCTGGTTGTCTTTCAGTCTGCAAGAAAAAAAAGACACGAGACTGAGCATGAACGAGACCGGAGTTCGGTTGTGGGGTAGTCTGTTGTTAAGCTATTTTGTTTTCATATTCCTTTTTGACTCAGTTTCCTTGAACGTTATTGTTGTTGTAGGTAAGCTAGGAACGGAACTCAGCAGGGGTTGGGGTTGTCCTCTGGGAACTGGTCACTTGGCAAGTTTACCATCTTTCAAGCGGAGCTGACATGGCTATTGAGAAAGTTTATCAGGACTCGGGGAACCCACGTGATAGCGATGTTGTTTTTGGAAAGGGGCCCGCGAGAGCCCGGGATCGGATATAGACAGAGAGATGTGAAAGGCAACAGGCAAGAGAGAAACAAAGATCATTCGACTGGGCGAGTGGCCAAGCAGGATCGGGTGGATGCGTAGGAGAGAGAGATAACACGAAGTAAATGAACAGATCGTGAATGTGGCAGATATGAGTGCTTCATTTCCGCTTCAAGGACTTTTGACAAATACATACGAAAGGCCGTCTATATGAACGTGCGGACGCCATCGCCCACGTACGCCGCATGCTTCGCCAACACCGTATGCAGCTCCAGCTGGCTTCAGAGTGAGGCACCGACCATGCCGCCGCCGGTCTGTGGCGGTCATCGCGTACTAATCACTCTCGTCGCCGTCAATCGCCTCGTCGACATCCTCCTCATCGCCCTCCTCCTTCTCCTCCAAGGCGTCTTGCGTCTCCTCGCCGCTGCCTTCACCCTCATCCTCGTCCTCGTCTTCTTCTTCCTCTGCTTCCTCGTCTTCGTCTTCGTCCTCGTTGGCCTCCTCTTCAGGCTCCGTCTCGGCGTCGTCAGCCTCGTCGACGGTCATGGAAGACTCGTCAACGCGGGCCTTCTTCGCCCTAGGGGCGTCACCGTCGGCAGAAGCAGTGCTGATGATGCTATCATCTGCAGATGCGGCGGCGGCTGCAGCCCCAGCGACTCCTGCCGCACCGCCTGCTGCTGCGCCGCCCTTCTTGGCAGCGACCTTTTGGCGGTATGAGGAGCGCTTCGCAGATTGTATCTGGTTGAATTCTGGACAGACAATTAGCGGCTGAGCCTCGAGCATATGCCGGAAGGTGTCAGGTAGTATCAGGCAGGCTGAGCCTCGGATGGTTGGTGAGGTGATGGTCGTTTTGGTATCGTGAGTTGGAATCTCGGGTTTGACTCACTCGCAAACTCCTGCTCCAAAGGCTCTCGCAGAAACCCAAACTCAATGTCTTCAAGAGCTTTGAACACATCTTCAGCACTAACCGTCTTTTTGTTGGCATTGACAGTATTTTGGTTAGCGCTTCAGTCACACAAAGTCAGCCTTCAGATCCTTCCACGATAACAAGCCCATGTCGGGGGCACATTTGCTTCACGGGACACATCTTTCAAGAACATTCATCAAAGGGGGTTGTCTCGGTGAACGCACTGTGCTGCAAGGTAGTTGATGAAGACTGTGGCGCTCTTGCTCATTGCCAAGACAGCATTGGCCTGGATCTGAGATTGTGGAGGTAGCACACCCTTGGCCAGTCTTGTGATGATGGACTTGGGCAAGTTAAGGTCCTGACGATGTGTAAGCTTAGTATTCATTCTTCTGCATGTGTCTGTCTCTTCCTCCCTCGTGTACCGAGATACACGTGAATAATGAGCACATACTTCAATGGTCAGAGAATCCTTGTCAGCCTTCTCCTTCGGTGCCTTCTCAGAGTCCTTCTTGTCAGATCCAGCGTTCAAGACTGTCGTCATCGTGAGAGGTGTTGATGAAGACACCTTGGCTGACTCGGGTGTCGACTTCGCTCCGGCAGCGGCACTGGAGGGCGCCGCCGAGACAGGAGCGGTGGAAGCGGCGGCGGCGGGAGTTGCGGGAGCAGCGGGAGTCGGTCCCGTGGTCGGGGTGGTGGCCGGGTCCTCGTCCATTACGGCGAATCGGGCGGTGGAGACGTCGCTCCTACGGCTGGCGTCGCTTTTGCGCGGAGGCATTTTGTGTCAGTTTGTCTGTGTGGGTGAAGTTTGCGGGTTGTGGGTGAGAGAGGTGTTGTACGGTGGTAGGGTGGCGGTTGTGTGACCGGAGAAAAAGACCAGGCACGGATTGAGTTTGCGATGCACGCGGGCAGCTCGTTTCTGCGAGACGATGTCGCGCGGGAGGTGTGGTGAGAGAAGGTGGCGTAGGCGTAAACGCGGGCGTGGATTGGTGAGAAGTTGAAGTTTTTCACCCACGGACGGGCTGAGTGCTGCTCTGGGCTGCTTCTCAGGGGAGACCAGGGTCAGGTTGGGTGTCTTTGCGGGATGCGCCGTGGTTGTCGTGAGCCAGCGTCGGGTTGGGAGGTGGACGTGTGAGTTTGTTGGCAATTGAAAGAGACGGGGCTTCAATTCAACTCAAACCGCAAGGCCGTCGATCGCTTCCGCAGGTGGAGGGCGTGAGAATGTCACTCAGGCACGGAAAGGGGAGGTCGAGGGAGGCTCTGGTCGTGAGAGTAAGGTATGGTAAGGTATGGTGTGGCGGGTGGAGACTGCAACGGGAGTGAGAGCCAATGTGAACTGCAACAACTGCACCCGGCTGCTGCGACTGCGCTCGCCCGTCGTCGGCCAACGTATCCGTACAGCCAACCTAGCGAATTGACGACTCGCCGGCGCGTCGTGCGTTGCAAGGTAGACGCGACTTTTCGAGTACCTAGGTAGGAAAGGTAGTGAGTGCCCCACTATCCCAGAGCATACCGCAGTACTCCGTAGGTATGGACGCGTTAAGTGCATTTCGATCTCCCTTTGCCCCAGGCCCATCTTGATTACTCATCTCACTGAACAACATCACACCTCACTTCACTCCTGATTTCACCGTCTAATTGCTGCCCTCCACACCCTTCAACATCTTCTCGTATTCAAACGAATGTCTTCTTTTAAAATACGAATAATCGCACTAGTCTTTATCCAAGTAAATGTTGGATCCCATCCCACGATGGAAACCCCCAATGATTTTCATGATTTCGGGAAAACGACAATTTCATGTGCTTCACTTAACCATCTCATCTTTACCTCCTGCACCTGTCGCACTTAACGACAACGAGAAGCATCTTCGCGAACCTCAAGGCTGCGAAGCGAGGAGCGCGGGATACCCTCTTCATCGTGTGCCCCTTATCTGACCCACCATGAATACCGCTGCTGTCCGCATGTCCTTGAGAAAATGGCATCTTGTCCCGCATGGTCGAAGCTCTTCCGGACGAACCAACCTGAAGCCGCCCGTCGGCGTCACACCCCGCTCTCGCAGACAATAGTCGCCAAGAAGTCGCGAACTCGCATGTGAGAGAACTTTTATCGTGGATGCATCAGGCAAAGGCTGGATCACGCCAGCCCACCTCTTTTCCCCCAAAGAGACTTACTTGATCGAGGACATCTGTCAAAAGAAGTCAAACCCCGAAGAAAAGCAAACTCAACCTTGGAGGCACCTGTCAACTACTACACCCCCACACATATGCATGCCCCGATCTGGACCTGCATCGAGTATCTAATCGAATGGCTCTAAAAGGCTGACACTCTTGGATCGACAGGCCTCTTGGACTAGGGCAACGATTTGCCGTCCACAGTTCCTCATCTGCCTTGCTGCCCAGCCATCCACAGACTGAGCTTGGCGAACTTAGTATTCCCGAGGAAGTCGCTCTCTCTCTCTCTCTCTCTCTCTCTCTTTACAACTCCAAAGTGAACCCTTGTCTACCCCGCCCCGTCGCCCCTTCGCCAACCTCCGCTGTCATTCGCGCACCCATCCGACGACGAAGCGCGGTGTTTCACATTGGGCCCGTCATCGCATCCCTCATGCTGGGATGGCATCTGTCGCAGGCGTGGCTTGCCGCCCCTTCTTCTCCCGTGCGTGCATGGGACCAACAACGCGGAAACCTTGGTCACAATACCAAGAAAGAATTGCCTTTCCTCACGAACGCTGGGCAACGTCGGAGCCATCCACCATCGTGCCTTCCCCCACCTTCTCAGTGAGCTGTTTGTTTCACTAATAATGGATGTAGCGGCGTGCTCAGCGCCATGACTGGCGTCGGGAGGCGTTTGTGCTTACTTGGGACGACATGTCGTCGTCGTCGTCCCCTCACGGCACGCAACAAGTTCCTCATTGGGACGGTGCTAAGAATGACTTGCATGCCGTGATCGCCACAATGATGCTATACCATGCCTGCACGAGGATGAGATGGTTCGCTGGGCTAGGGTCAAAGTTATTCTGGTCACTGAGGTCACTGACGTGGCACGGTTGACATCGCATGGGTAGAAGAAGATGGTTTGTATAGATTGCATTCTTTGCGATCGGGCTCTTTCATCCAACTTGTGTGTGCCCTAGTGTCATGAAGTTAAGGAAAATTCCCTGCCTTTGCAGCTTCTGTGATGAATCCATTCGTAGGGGTATTTCCGTCCATCACCAATCCGATGTTGGTGTTTCGAAGATCATGGCTCCGTAAGACAAAGGAAAATGAGATGCCGTCAAGGGCATCTACGTGTCTTCTCCATGGACTCAGTCCATGCAGTGCACTGCTGAATGCTCATTCAGTTAAGAAGAACATTTGAGAGGAGTGATGTGTATGTGTGCCTCGCGCCTAGCAGAGTCTCCTGGCTAAGACGGTTCATCGAAGGCATCGAAAACCCAAAAGTTCAACGGCGGCGGCGGTGGCAACAGGTGTTGCCCCGTCGCGTTCTTGGATAAGGCAAAAGCCGTTCCCGGGTAACCTCCACCTCGCTCGTGTGGTACCAAGTCGCACACACAAGGTATTGTGATATGTTTGCCATCCATCGGTTTGTGAAACAAGTGCTCACAAGATAGCACCCCGCACTTTCCAGGCCTGCGGGAATAGCGCAAGAGCTGAAACGAGTGTGGGTTGTGGTTGCGTGCGGCGCGTATTGGTAGCCGCGACCGTTTGCAGGGTTTCGCGCAAAAAAGTAGGTAGTAAAACACGGCACTTCGCCAGGGGTGTGACTTCTCGGTGAAGGCAAGAATTCGAATCGGAGCTTCAGCCTACGGCAATGCCAATCTCAGATTGCCGGAGATAGGGTCGGGGGGAGAGGCCACCCATGCGTACTTCCTCGTCGAGAGACAGCCGCGGAGGGATCGAGGAGTCGGAGTAGATCCGCTGGTGCCTACCATCAGAGTGCGCAGATGAAGGCATGTGGGCGTAATGGTCGATGGAGCCTCGTGGTGAGAGCTCAACGTCGGTTTGGTAGCCGAACCAGTGGTCTCGTAGGCTACCGACGCTGGCACTGCTGCGGGAGCTGCGGTGTCTGCCGTGACCATTGCGGGGTGAGAGTGGTGGCAATTTGGACAGCCTCGAGTTTTGGCGCTTCGGTGAAGGGAGGAAGGCGGCGTCTCCCTCGATTGTGTCGTCAGTCAGACCGACGCGAGCATTGGGCGCCCGAGCGAGGACGGGAGTGTTCGGAACGTCCATACTCTTTTTGTCCATACTGCGCTTGTGATACAGAGACCGAGGGGAAATCTCGGACGAGGCACGAGACTGGTTCGAGTGGTGGTGATTCTGGTAGACGATCACGCTGGGCGGCTTGCTGACAGTGGGAGCCGGATCGTGCTTGTCAATGACGATTGTCGTCGATTTCTCAATGGCTCGGTTGGCCTTCCAAGACTCAATCTCCTCGTCGTCAATGGGCGTACATCCGCGTTGACTGAATGGGCCCCGTCTGCGCCAAGGGGCGAGAGGGAGACGGCCGTAGCGGTAGCGGTAGCATAGGCAAATGGTGAGAACGATGAGCGCAACTCCAAGTACCGAGAGTACGGTACTGAGGGCGATGACGAGGCTTCGGTCGCCCTCGAAGTTCTGTGCGTTGCCAGCCATGACACCTTGCTGGTCCGTCAACGAGGTTGAGCTTGGTGCAGCCGGCGCCGGAGAGACTGGAGGTCTGCTACCGGCATCAGTTGGTTGAGCAGGCGGCAACGTCTGGACAGGTGGATTTGTCGTGGGAGGCGAAGGCGGCGGCGGCGGCAGTACAACGATAGACGTGGATGAACTTTGCGGAGGAACGAAGATAGGAGTTGATGAACTCTGCGGTGGCGGCCTTGACGGTGGTGAACTCGGTTGAGGGAAACTCGGCACAGAGAAAACGGGTGTTGAGCTAAAGCGAGGAGGAGGTTTAGGAACAGGTAGGGTCGCTCGGGGGAGGCTGGGTGTTGAAAAGGAAGAAACAATGGAAGCCACCGGTCGTGAAGTAGAAAGTACAGGAACAAGTAGAGACGTCGTCGGAGATGGTCTGATCTGTGAAGAAGTTGTCGGAGGGGGCGCCTGGGGAGTGGTCTGCGGAGGAGGGGGTGGTGGTAGAGGAGGTTGTGGTTGCTCCGGGGGAGGAGGTGGTGGAGGTGGCGGCGGCGGCGGCGGCGGCTCCTCAGGAGGTGGAGGAGGCGGAGGAGGCTCTTGATGAGGGGGCTCCTCTGGCGGCGGGGGAGGTGGTGGTGGTTCCTCAGCTGTCACGCCTATGAGTTGAGTTAGCATCAAAGTTCGATACACGTAAATGAGATGAAAGACGTTAGGAAATGTCCAGAGGAATCCGAAGAGTGGGTGATATAGTAAAGATATGTTTGTTCTGAGGCGATCGGAGGTCGTCCACTGAGGTGAGAGCAACATAAAACACAGGTGTAGCGGCCGCTTGAGAGTAAACATTGAAAGCTCTGTGCTCTGTGCTGTGCTGTGCTGTGTGTTGGATACTGGGTGCTCTTTCCAAGACCGCACCTTCTGTTCCTCCGCCACCTTTGGCTTCTTCCAAGCCGTTGTTGATAGTTCCGTCGGTAGGTGCGTCAACTCGGCCCGGTCCAAGTACGGCGGGCAAGGGTTCGGTGTTGGCGCCGGGTGCAAGCTCCAGCTCTGGGTTCACAGACGGACCTTGGTCTCTGCTTTTACCCTTTCCTTTCCCTTTTCCCTTGCCCTTCCCCTTGCCAAGTCGTTCATCTTCATCGTTAATGGTGCTGTCGATACCCTCGTCTGCGTTGAGCAAGGATGCTCTGCTTGGAGTCGAGCGACTCGCGAGCCATGCCGTAACCAAGAGATATCTCATTGTCGACATATTAACATTCGTGCCTCCGTGTATTGTATGGGCCAGCCCGGTAGAATCTCCGTTTTCTCGAATATCACTGCACACAAGATTACGTTCCAGCGTGGCAAGTAAACGCCTATGCCATGGACAAGTCCCCAACGTCGAGTACTGGACTCTCCCTTGTCGAGGGAGGCGAAATAAGACCACTTGGGCGAGAGAAGTAGAAGGAAATAGAAATAAACAGCTAGGAAATAAGAAGGAGAGGGTAACAAACGGTTCAGGCGGGTTGACCTTGGAACCAGGTCAAGATGAGGATTTGGGTGAAGTGAGTGAGGTTCCACAACTCCAAGCAGGACACTTGGAGCCGGTTGGTGCTGGAGACCTTCAAAAAAAAAAAAAAAGGAAAGGAAAGGGCTGGAGACGAGAGAGGAGGCTCGCGCAGAGAGGTCAAAGGGGAGAGTGGTGGACGAGACCCCGGGTTATGTACGAAGTGCAGCTGCGCGGTGTAGAAAAGATGTGAGAGGGTACATCCATGGTTCCTTGGATGCGGCACTTGCGGCAGCACTAACATGGGGAGGACGTGTACCATAGTACCTCAGCAAGTAGGTACTGTGGTGTGGTGTGGTGTGTGTGTGTGTGGTGGTGGGAGGTGGCACCTTGGACCACTCCGCAGCCGTCCATCCAACCACTTGCTGCGTACCTAGGCAGGGTAGACAGACGATCCAGGCATGTACATAGTATGTGCACTTGTTCACTCACAATGGCGCCCTATTTTGTATGGCCTTGGCTTGGGCTGCAGATGGCGGCGTGGACAGCCAGCAAGAGGGAAACATGAGGGCAGGGTACAGAGTACGAATTCTCTGTAGGGATAAGCTGTACACCCGTGCACCCGCTTTGGAGGACGGCATGTGAGTTGAATAATCCCGCAGGAGACATATTCGGCGGACGCATCTAGGGGCTCCCATGGCGCAGGCCCTCAGAATAAGGTAGCGAGTATGAGGAAGAAACAGAGTGCCAGAAGAGAGCTCTTACAGACGGAGAAACAGAGGCCTTCTCTCGGTCTGGCAGATTCTGAAGCGGAGCGGGCGGCGGGCGGCAGCAGTGGGTGGGTGGTGGTGGTGGTCAGTTGCGGGTTCCTGTTCCTGTTCCTGTTTCTGTTCCTGTTTCTGTTCCTGGTTCTGTCCCCAGGTGTGTCGTGTCTGTGGTCATTGGAAGAGAAAGTGGTCCGTGGTTAGAGGAAGTGAGAAACGAACGAACCGCACTGCACTGCACGAAGCGAGTTCAAGGCAGTGGAGACGTGGATCCAAAGCGGGCCATCGGAGGTTGAGATGTGTCGGGGTTCTTGACCAGGGGGGTGAGGGGGGAGGGGGGAGGCAGGGGGGTGGAAGCTGTGCGAAGCTGCTTGGTCTTGTCACAGTTGGTGTGCTGTTGAAAGAATCCGCCGCCCGCCCGCCTCTATCCGTAAGAGTTGAGCAACACACCTACGCCGTAAGCAGCCCGTGGAAAAGTCTGGCTTTGCGCACTCAGGCGCAGGCGCAGGCACAGGCACAGGCCACAGGACACAAGAACAGGGGTGCAAGTTGGAGAAAGAGGGGGTGAGGAGGGGAATAGCGTTTTGCTGCACCTGAGCTGCTACGGGAGGCCATTGGCAGACGGATCATGTTTCTAATTTTCGACTTGGTCGCCGTTTGGCGTTTTAGTCCCACGATACAGCTGCCGCCTGGATGCCGATGACGAGAACGAGGTGAGGTGGACGACAAGCACTCGAGTCAAATGAAGAGCCTAACCAGACATCATTCTAGACAGCAGCCATGTTTCGCCCAACAGAACTCTTGTTTGCCTTATCTTCAACCCTGAATGAGGCCGAATTGGTGATGTGAGGCTGTTCAGGCTGGAAAATACTTGGTTACAGCGCAATGGCATGGCCTGGATGGTGCCATGTGGTCTTTTGCTGATTTGTGACGGCATGTTGAAGGCCGTTCCTACGCAAGGCACAGCGATGGCGTTTAAACAGATCAGCCAATGACAGGCCCTAAGCCCCCCTTCTCCGGACAGAGCTAAGGCAGGGCCAGAACGTGAAGCAGGCTGCTGGTGGAGGAGGAGGAGGAGGAGGTGGTGGTGGTGGTGGTGGTGATGAACATGCAAGACAGCAGCCCAAAAAGCAATGGTTGCGCATGTAACCGTTTAACGAACAATGGCGCAAGAAAACAAAGCTGGACGGAAAAGAGGCAATCCCGTCGTCGCCGCCCAGCCCTCGGCCCCCCCAGCAGCAACGTGAAAAAGATAGATCTCATGCAGATTTCTATGCGCAGGTGCAGCCAAGGACAGACCATGCAGCATGCAACAACGTGTATCCGTAAGGTAAGGCCCATCAAGTCCCATCCCAACCCGACCCAACCCAACTTGCAGTGCGCCGCCGCTCGGTCCGGTGACGGCAGCATTGGATGATGCTAATTCGGGCTCAATGGCACATTGGCCTGCATGCGCACAGTTTGGTCCATCTGTTGAAAGATTTCATTGTGTGTGTTGGAGGCCGAGACGGGAACACAGAGAAAACAACGAATTCCAGGAAGCGGTGCCGAGGAACAAAACAAGAGTCTTGGCCTGAGTAACCTTACTCGGACGATAAACGTTCCTGACAGGCCTTGCCGCGAAGGATGAATAAAAAAAAAAAGGGAAGGACGGTCAGGACGCCCTGGCCGGCAAACGGCGCAAGAGCCATGTCTGTCTGCCTCTAAAACATCTCAAGTATGGAAAAGCGCAAGGCCAAAAAAAAAAAAAAAATTAAAAAAAAAAAAGAAAAAAGGCAGTCAGTCACCAGTGGGAGGCTGGCATGTTGTACCCCTGCTCGACTTATCTGAAGGGTAAGGTATCTTTGCTGGGAACTCCCTGCGTAGAGGTACCTTACTCAGCTTCCCGTCCACTCCGTTTTCTCATCCGTAGGTTCCTTGCCCTTCCAGGCCCGGGCTTCGACTTCCACTTCTACTTCGATGAACACTACCAACTACGTACTTCGTATCCAACGTCTGACCTCACTCGCCCACCGACCGCAAAGCCACATTCCGTTCCACGATCCGTCCAAACCCAATACCTACCACAGACCTCGCACTCGTCAACTTGCGGTGAGGTCGTCGTCTTCAACGCCCGTGTCATCCATCGCCCGCCCGCCAAATACGTACCTCACCCTGCCTTACCTGTGGCGCGCCGTCTTTCTTGCCTTTGTGCCGGGCCATTTATTCACAAGTCCAACACCAGCGCAATGGAATCGTCTTAGCCACCGACCGCAAGGTGAGGATGGCCGGGAACATCCCGTGATGGCCAAAAGCCGCTGGACGACTGACTACCTGCCCGCTCGATCCATGGCACGCAACGGTGCAGATGGCGACTCCGATTGTAACAACGGCGACTGCAACCGCAACTGCAACCCCTCGCCTTGACCTCGCCCCTCACTGGAACCAACGCTCTCCGCTTGCAGGACAACGCAAAGCAACATGAACCTCTCGTTTTGCGCGAATCCCTTCCTCGACCCCTCGCTTCCATGCAAGCAATTTGTCTGTCGCCAGGGCCCTTGTCGGGTTCCCCGCAGCACGTTTCCTTGCCTGCTGTCCTGTCCGTCGCAACGCACGCACAACCACCACACAACCCATCAGGCACGTCGCAGCCATCTGACGAGACACGACATCATGACAGCTCGTGCTGTCTGTCCTGCAGAGTCTGCCCGGATACACACATCAGAGGCTGTACCGCGCTTGTCCTGCCATGCAGTGAAGCGGCATGCATTGGGTTGTCTACTACGCCCGCCCATTGCCAA